ATAAAGTGGACAAACTAGACCACTCAAGCAAAGATTATGAAAAATTTAAGAAAGCACAAGAATGGAATATGCAGAAACTGTGTGATACCATATAAAGACCAAACTTACAAATCATAGGCATACAGGGAAGGAGAAGAATCACAAGATAATGGCATGGAGAAGATCTTCAACAGAATTGTAGAAAAAATTTCCCAAAATTAAAGAAAGACATGTCCATACAAACACAAGAAGCACATAGAACACCAAATAGACAAACCAGAAAAGAAACTCCACAGCACATCATAGTAAAACACTAAATGTAAAGAACAAAGAGAGAATACTGAAAGCTGCAAAAGAAAAACAAGTCACATATAAAGGTAAACCCATCAGAATTACAGCTGACTTTTCTGTGCAAACTATGAAAGCCAGAAGAGCCTGGACCAAAGTATTCCCAATTCTAAATGACCAAAGATGCCAACCCAGATTACTTTACCCAGTCAAAATGTTTATTATAGTCGAAGGGGAAAGAAAAATCTTCCATGACATAAATAGGCTGAAAGAATTCATGTCCACAAAACCAGCCCTTCGGAGAGTTCTTGAAGCAACATAAAGAGCCAAAGAAAGGAATGACTATACCCAAGGGGTAACAGAAAGAAACTTAATGAAGGTATAACTGTGGAAATGCACAGCTACACCAAGAATGTGAACAGAAATCAAAACGACAGGCATCAGTACACATCTTTCATTAACAACTTTAAATATAAATGGACTAAACTCCCTAGTCAAAAGATACAGACTAGTTGAATGGATTAAGAAACAAAATCCATCTTTTTGTTGTCTGCAAGAAACCCATCTCGCTTTCAAGGACAGGCACCACCTTAAGGTGAAAAGATGGAAAAAAATATTCCAAGCTAATGGTACTAAGAAAAAAGCACGTGTAGCAATTCTAATATCTGACAAAATAGACTTCAAACTAAAACTAATCAGAAGAGATAAAGAGGGCCACTTCATTCTGATCAAAGGAACAATAGACCAGGAAGATATTGTAATCATGAACATATATTCACCAAACTCTGGTGCACCCAGTTCATAAAAACAGTACTACAGGACTGTAAGAGCCAAATTAATCCCAACTCATTAATAGTAGGGGACTTCAATACCCCACTGTC